CTGGGCCACGTCCATGATGGCCATTTTGCGGCTCGGCTGGTGCGATCACCGCGCTTGTAGCACCTTTTGCACGGGGAACCGTCACTCTCGTCACTATTGGCACCTTCGCGCCATTTGGATGATCACCCGCCCTTCTCGGAGGCAGCGAAGCTGACAACACCTGAGCCGAAAGACGTCGCCGGAAGGCCGCCGACGCATGCAGTCGGCGTCGTGGTGAATCCATACCACGGTGCTGCTGCACTTGCTCAAGGCGTGGGTCTGACGCCGCCAGCCATGAACGCTCCTTTTCTTCATGGACCCTGTCGCTGCGAACAAGAATTAATCAAGTGGCACTCACTCCCGCAGCCTCTGTTCAAGCTTCTCGTGACTCTACCGTATCCGACGATGGCATCCTCGCGACCTTTGCACTCGAAGCGGTAGCGATTGCCTCCGGAATGCCGCTGACGGTTGGGCAACAGACTGCCTGTTCCTTTCTGGGTTGCCGAGCCTTCTGAACCCCGCGGGTCGGGCCGCGAAGCGCCCCCAACGTTTTTTGGCGAACGAGTAGCAGTGGCACAGGCACTGGTGGATCACCTGCCGCCTTGACCGATCTGACCTGCAAAGCCCGAGACGTCCACGCCCTCGCTGTCGCCATCGTCGTCGGTTTCCGTGTCGTCATCTTCCTGGGCACCTGCTCACCGCCGCCCAATTCGGCGCACAGCGGGTCCGACGGCGGCGGTGGAGACGGATGCCACGACACACGGGGGGGCCCATGAGGATGAGGCTGGACGAAATACTCGGAAGCATGCCATGCCGATTTCAACGTCTGGCTTTTGGTATTTCCCGTCTCCAAAGTGCAAGGTGGGCAGGAAGAAGTGGCCTTTTCTGTGTCCGTCTGCAGTTCGACTGATCGCCATCGGATTTCGCTCGAACATGTATCCGTACCGTCGGCTTCATTCTAACGACTCGTTGTGCTGCTGGTCCGTCGGCGTCAGCTAGCCTCGGAGGTGCACAAGCAACTCGTTCCACCCCTTTGGTGATCAGCCCAGGGCATTCGGAGGCATCAACGCGTAGCCCTAAGACACCATGTCAAAGTTGCCCATGTTCGTGTCGCGCCGACGTGACACCTCGGCCTTGCTGGGGGTCTGGTCTACTGTGTCCGAGGCTCGCCTATCGAAGTTCATCAGATCGCTGATGGCTCAAAGCGCACTCTCTTCGCCGAAGGCGCGAAGGACTTCGACATCACCGGTAGTAGTGGCTGTGGGCCTGTGAGCTGCCGCGCGCCGCCGCCGTCTCCTGGGTTTGAGATGGCGCCGTCTCGCAGCTGATCTGGAGGAATCTGTCGAGCAAGCTACCGTGCAGCTCTTCCCAGACGCAGGCTTGCTGCTCAGGTAGAACTTCCCGCGCCGCTGTCGCTGCCCAAGACGTCGCCCGTGAGCTGCACGGATATCCGTCATCATGCTCCAGGCTCGAGGCGGGTGGCATCTTCAGCAAGCACCTCACCTCTAGATTCATCACGTTGCTGTGGTCTGCCATCTTCGTCTCGTAGCGGATCGGAGGTGGGGGGGTGAGATCGCAGTGAAACGGGGACCCCCCACGGGGAAATCGGTTTCGGTTTCGTGTTCGTGTCGTGCGCGCGGGCGAGGCGAAGCTGCGCGCAGTCCTCCTGTAGCTAAGCCGAAGTAGGAGCGAAAGTCCGTTTCCCGTCCGCCTGTGGCTGGGAGGTGTCCCAGTTGGGTTGGGCGGTGTCCCAGGTGTCCCGGGTGTCAGTAGGAGCGAAAGTCCGTTTCCCGTCCGCCAGTGGCCAGGAGGTGTCCCAATTGGGCTGGGCGGTGTCCCAGGTGTCCCGGGTGTCCCGGGCGTTCCAGCGCTAACGCATGTCGCTAATTTCATAATTTATTTGTTTCGGCGCCTGCGGCGGGCTTTCTTATCCAATCCAGCTTATCTTATCCAATCCATTTTGTCCAATCCAATCCATCTCATCGTATCCAACCAATATTGTCCCAACTTATCTTATCCCACCCAATCCAATCCACCCAACCCAACCCATCAATTCATTTGTTTCTGCGCCTGCGGCGGGCAAATCCAGTCCATCTTATCGTATCCAATCCATTCCTCCCCATGCAACCCATAATATCTGTTCCAATACATATTACCCAATCCAATCCACCCAACCCAATCTATCAATTCATTTTTGTCGGCGCCTGCGGTGGGCTTTCTCGCCCAATCCAGTTTATTTGATCCAATCCATCTTGTCCAATCCAATCAATCTTACCTTATCCAACCCATGTTGTCACATCTTATCTTATCCTACCCAATCCAATCCATCCAACCCAATACATCAATTAATTTGTTTCTGCGCCTGCGGCGGGCCAATCCAATCCATCTTATGTTATCCAATCCATCTCTTCCAATACAACCCACCTTATCTTATCAAATCCATCTCTTCCAATCCAACCCACCTTATCTGATCCAATCCATCTCTTCCACAGAGAGATGAGATCAAGGTGACAGGCTGGAGGTCAGTCAGGGTGGGCATTTGATCACAATCCCCCCCCAACCTCCTTATCGCCCGCAGGGCGGTCGTATAGGTATCGTAGTCTTGCCGATCCCGAGCACCTCGATGCTGTTGAGCTCCGCGTCCTTGATCGCCTCGAAGACCTTCACAGTGTAGCTGGCCCCGAAGACTGGCGCACTGGAAGGGTATGAGCCCAGCCGCAGGTCGCAGCTTGGCTCCGCTACCATGTCAATTTGCCTCTGGCCGCCACACGCTACAGCAGCTATCAGGCGCGCCCTCGGGCGCAGGCCCGCCGACGCGGCCAGGCCTCTTGCGGTGCCAGCTAGGGCCAGCATGCCGCGAACGATGCACGGAGCAGCAGCAGCAGCAGCAGCAGCAGCAGCAGCACGACCTTCAGGGGCCTGGACACGCAGATCTCGACTGGTTGAACCCCCTCCCGCCTGCCAGCAGCGGCAGAAAACGCTCTTGCCGATCAAGAGGACGGAATGGGGTCGGAACGAGGGAAGGGACAAGGCTGAAGTTTGGACGCCCGAAATAGGTACAGAAGAGATCGGTACGATGCCAAACAACAAATGATGTCCCAAACCAACAGCGGCCGCTGTTGGGCAGGCGGCCATTTGTCTCAAATGGACACAGGCTTCGGCGGCGCGGACAGCGAGTCCTGTTCAAAATGAACAGGAACTGCTGTTGGGCATTGTACCCATTTGTTATGTACCCATTTCGTTCGTGCTGATGAAGGGATTACACCAGGAGGGGGGACACGCCTGCACAGAAGGAGGGAGATGGGGAGGCGCGCGACGATAGTGGGCAGAGAATGGCAGGGGTGGATCCAAGCAGGATGCGGGGTCCACACACCAAGGCTTTGACAAACAGACGTGGCAGAGCTTCGTGCCACTTAAGAAGGCACGCGGCCAGATGCCTTCCGGCTGCCCGCGGGACATCCCCAGAGAGCGTGGGCCGGATTGGCGTGGCCGTGCTCTTCAGGCCGCGCGGTGGGCGAGGACGCCCCGCCGCAGCGCTGGCAAGGCTGCGCGGGTGTCCGCCGCCACCTGCCGCGCAGCCTGGCCGTGCAGCGGCACTGCGACGCCTGGGCGAGGCCACGGCATGTTTGTGCCCATGTGCTTGGTACTCGGTGCTCTCCTTCTCTCTCTCTCTCTCTCTCTCTCTGTCTCTCTCTCTCCGATTCCCGCTGCAACCATCTTTAGCTTCGAGCTCTCCTGGTGCCCAGGCCGCGCTCATAGCACCAATGAGTGGCGGACGGTAGCGCAGGCGCGCTGCCGCTCATGCGATGCGGGTAGAACATACTCTCTCTCTCTCTCTCTTTCTGCTTCTCTTTCGTTCTCTCTTGCTGGAAATCCCGCACGGTGCCGCTGCGGGATTCCATGTGCCTGTCTCGTCGGGGGCCTGCTTGAGGTTTCGGGGGACATCATGCGGTCGACTCTGAAGCCTCATGGAATTACACTCGAGAGTGCGCGTGTGTGTCTATCAGGTTTTGGCACGCGCTGCTAGGTTTCAAAGCTGATGTGAATAGACCAGTATGAACACCATACGTATGACCGTCGCATGTGACCCAATACGGTCGCGGACACACACACACACACACACACACACACACACACACTGTTTTGCCGCACTGTCTGTCGATATGGGGGCTTCTCGGACCCTGTTTTGGATCCAACCTGGCAGCCTATTGGGAGCATCTTCGGAATCCCTGGGGCTGTCGGGGCGGCTTTGATCTCAAGATTAATAGAGCCACCTGAGGGCCACGCAAAGGCACCTTACGCAATCTGAACGGCCTCTTGGGGGCAGATGTTGGAGCATTTCTTGTGCTACCATGAGCCCTCCTGGTGGTCATCTTGGAAACTGGCTTGAGGCGATGTGAAGACTCATGGGGCAAAGAGCGAGAAGAGGCGAAACCCTTTTCCGAAAAGAAATCGAATTTGCCTTCTGGGGTCTCTGTCGTGGACACGTGCCACTGTCTCACCAATGGCACGCTTCCTGCCCTGGAGTCTCTGAAGTGGCACGCCCAAATCTAAAGGGCGGCGTCCTGCGCCGCAGGATCTGCCTCTCTATCGTAAACCTGCTCTGTCTTCTTCTTAGCGCAGCTGTTAATAATAATGTACAAGTATTATTAGTAGTATTATCATTGGCATGTGTGTTACAATTACTACTTAGTATTATTACTTTATTATTATTGATGTTAATCGCCTCTCCCCACATGTCTTTCATTCCTCTGGCGCGGCGCAAGCAGCCCGAACTACAGCAGTTAGTGCTCCAGGACGCAGAATGGAGCCTGGCCTTTTCCCTCGGTGCTTCTCCCCATACTTTAGCGAACGTTTCCTTGAATAGACATCCTCTGTGTAACATGTGGATACCAGCATTTACACGGCGTGCAGTCGTGCCCATCTGGCCTTCAAGCGGACCAGTGTACATGCGGTCCTCTCCCACTCTTTTTCCCACCCCCCGATTGCCGTCCACGGGAGCGCAAAGAATAGAAAATCGATCCTTGGGCAGACGCTTCATGAGGGGAACCTGCTGTATGAAGTGCATCCGCGCCTCCACCAGAGAGACGGAGAGAGAAAGAGAGAGAGGCAGAAGGATCGAGATACAGAGAGGTAGAAAGACGAGGAAGAGGAGGAGGAGGAGGGGGAACCAGCAGAGCCGTCAGAACAAAAAAAAAAAAACATAACGAGCACGAGCAGCGCAAGCGGATGCCACGTGAGGCGGAAGGATGAGCGCGAGACGAAAGCGGGCCACGGCAGCTCTGGCGCCGCACGGCAACAGGAGCTCCGAGGACCGGCGATAGAAGTCCAAAGACGAGGGGGTCGACCGCCTGCGGGGGAAGGGCCGTCGAGCAGCACCTCGGAAACATCAACATATCGCTGGTCGGACGGCCCCATCAGCGTGCTATTGCTGACTACCTACCAGACCACCCCAACCCAACCCGAAGACCCGAATTGGACCCCAATTTCGGGTTGGGGGGGGTACGGATCCCATGTGTTTTTTCAACGTTCCCCGACCCCCCCCCCCACTGGAAATCGAGGATAAATTTGGACCTTCGGGTTGGGTTGGGGTGGTTTGGTGGGTGGTGAATTGCTGTTGCGCCGAGAACGAAGGCGAAAAACAGACCGCTTGAAAGACGGGCGTGTCCGTTCGTGCTGCGGTATCACCCCGAGCATTAAGTCGGGCCTGTCCCCCCTGGAGGCCGATCTTGGACGAAAAATTAAAGATACCCCAAATATGCGAAAATATTTTAAAAATGCTCAAAATGGGTCCAAAGATAGTCCCCAGACTATTGTTTTGACTATTCTTGAATATTCCCCCTCTAGAGGGACAGGCCCGACTTAACCCGAGCAGCGAAGAGAAGGATCGGACAAAATCCGACGACCAGCCCCGTCAGCGGCGCGCGATCCTGCCCAGGGCGCATCGCGTGCCGCCGGCGGGTGCCGCCAGCGGCTCCAATCGAACAGATGCAGGCAATGCTGCACAACGAACGTGTCCTCGAACCGCATCCTCCTCCTCCTCCTCCTCGTCAGCTTCCGCTTCCTCCTCCTTCTCGTCATTAGCACCACCATCATCATCAGCATCATCATCATCATCATCATCATCATCATCATCATCATCATCATCATCATCATCATCATCATCGTCATCATCATCGTCATCATCATCATCATCATCATCATCATCATCATCATCATCATCATCATCATCATCATCATCATCGTCCCCCCAACCATCATCAACATCAGCATCATCCTCATCATCGAGATCATCATCAGCATCATCATCGCACGTGCGGAGGAGAATGAGAAAGAGCAGGGAAAAGGGAGGAGCAGGAGGAGGAACACCTGAAATGGGGGGGTGGGGGGCGAGAAAGAGGACATGGCGGCGACACAATAAAGTGAACGGACATTCGATTGGAGTCGGGATTGCGCGGGCGATCGAACAGCTCTGGCGGAGCAAAGTAGCCGAAAAACAAGACATGCTTGAATTGTCCGAACCCGACACCGCTCAAATCCGTCTAGGATGCCCAGCCGCCACCAAGGAGGCGCGCTGGGCTGGCGGCGGAGTGCGTGCTCACTGAGTGGGCACGCCCATGGTCTCAGGAACGGCACGGGGCAGCTCGCCTGAGTAAATTAGACGCAGCACGCCGAGTGCCGTGGTGGTGCGCGAAGGCCTTGCGCCGCGGCCAGGGTGACCGAGCCTGGGCACAAGGCTCGGCGAGGCACGGCACAGGTCCTGCGGAGATGGGGATATGGAAGGGGTGTCTTGGACGGGTATAAGGGAGCGGGAAAGAAGATGCGAGTCAACTTGAGGGCGAGCGGATACGGATGCATCGCAAAGAGCCTCGCCGCGCAGTCCTTGTCCGCCGGACTCTCGTCGGCGCGAGGTTCGGGCTCTTCTCTGGCCCCCACACCGCCGGCCGCCGCGGCGCCCGCAGTGTCCGCGACCAGGGTGGGCGACACCTCCTTATCCTCCTCGCCCTCTTCTGGCGCTGCCTTCGTCTTGTGAAAGACAGGGAGCGCCTGGCCCCGCTCAGGCTTGCTCATGTGACCTCCGCAGAGGGTCCGTTTGGGGGCCCTCGCGGGCCTGGCCGCGGGCGTCTCGATTTCCTTCTCCTTGTCCTTGCTGCCCTTGCCGGCCTTGCCGTCAGCGCTACGTTCTTGCCGAGGTTGGACCGCTAGCACTGCGCCGGGCCGAGGCCACCCACGGGGGCGATTGGCCCCCGACGGCGCGCCTGAACCTGCGCGGCGGCTCCAGCTCGCGAACGTCCGCGCAGTAGTCGCAGGGGCGCTGCGAGCGCACGGCAACGCCCTGCGGTCCAGGCGCTGGCGCGGCGAAACCTGGTGGCCGGCCACTACCACCCGCCCGAATATTCGCCGCTGCCGCGCCAGGAAAGCCCGGCCACAGGCCCCCAGTACCCGCCGCACGCAAGGCGACACTCACAGGCGAGCGAATGCACCCAGCGCGCCGCCAGGCGTTGACCGAAGACCAGAGCCTTCGGATGGAGGGTCTACTTTTCCACAGTTGGGCGCAGATATGGACCCGCGTTGCGCCGCCCACTCGCGAGGCGCACCTCACGGCCGAACGCCGGGCGCAGCTGCAGGCCCACGCGCCCGTCGCCGAAGGGAACTAAGCGCGCCACGGGCTTCGGGAGAGCAGTGCTCACGCGCCAGATGCAGCGGATGCATTTGTCTACCTTGGCCGCGTCGAACAATCCAGGAGGCGAAAGAGGGCGCGCGGCAACCATTCCCGCGCGACCTCCCGCCGCCTCCTCGGCCTTCGCTGCGTCGGGGAAGACATCGTCGCCGATGATATCCTGGGACGCCTCAGGCGGCGGCGGCGCCGGCGCTCGCGCATTGCTCGGCGCCGCGAGCCGCGGGCGCACTGGCCGAGGAGACGCCGAGGGCCGAGGGGCCGCGTTGCTGCTGCCGCGCGCGGCTGGGCCGCGGCCCCGCTGGCGCGCGCGGGGCCGAGGCGACCGCACTTGGTCGCCCTCGCGGCTTCCACGGCGCAGCACCTCTGCCAAGCCACGGCTGGGCGACGGAAGCGGCGACGTTGATGGTTCGCGGCGGGCGCGTCTCTTGGACTTCTTGCCACCGCCGCGGGCGCCCGCTGGGACTCCGCGGGCGGCGGCACCTTGGGCGGCAACCCCGGTGGGCGTACCGCGCCACCAGCAGGCGCTGACAGCGCTCTACCCTTGCGCCGCGGCGGCGGGCTGGCGCTCGAACCCAAGCGACGCGACGCCCGTCGCTTGGTCGAAGCGGCGGCCTCCTTGAAAAAAATGGCCGCGCGCCGAACAAGCAAACGGCCGCGGATGTCACACGCGCGCGCACGTCGACACACACACACACACGTTTTTGATTTGCGGGGCGACAGCGAACCTCTTCCGCGAAAAGCTAGGCGGGCTACGCACAGCTTTAATTAGGGGCACAGGGCACACGAAGGCGGGGCCCCAGGCGGCCGGAGCGGGCGGGGCCCGGGGAGCAGGCGGTGCCGAAGTGGATGTGCAGGAGAAAGAACGCCATGGACAGAGACCGAGGGCGAAGACCCGTAAGGCGAAGGAAATGGCGTCGCCGGCAACGGCACTTCGCGAACACCAGCCTAAAGCACTGCAGAGGAGGACGCGCCACATGACCAGGTCGACGCCCAGGAGAAGAAGAGCACCACGAAGGCGATGAGGAACGTTGTGCCACCGGATGATGCGGAGGAGGCCTGGGGTGGTAGTCCAATCCACGACCAGGTAGCAGCGTAGCTTGAGGTGCGGCCTCCACACGAAAGGGCCGCCCATGACCGACAGGAAGTCGGTGAGCTGCAGGGGGAAAACCTGCCCTGCATCGCCAGCGCGTGAAGACGGGCAGCAGCCACACACGATGCGCTGACGTCCGCAATGCCAAGGGCCGGGCCTGAGCCGCGCAGCGCCATGGCGAGCGGAGCCGCCGAGACAGCAAGGCGCGGCGCCTAGCACCGGGCCGAAGCCGCGCAGTGCCGGGCGCTGCCGCCATGGAAGGGGGGGGAAGCGAGCGGGGGGGGAAGAAGCGAACAGGAAGGAGAAGGGCCGGCGCTCACCGCCAGCCGTCGACGTGCCAGCCCGCACCATCGGTGCTCACGTGGGAGGAGCTGGGCTCCCAGTGGGATCAGGTGGGACACACGGTCCCAATACACGTTAAAGACAGGAGGGGGGGTGGGGAGCAGGCAACACCGTCGGGGACCACGTGGACCAGTAGGCAAACGCCGCTAGTGGAGCCGTGCACGTACCAAGTGCACCGCTACTGCGTCCATCAGGCTGCGCGCGCCTGCACCGTGCACGTGACGGGGGCTCCCGTGGGCTGCCAGGCTCCTGGATCAGCCCTCCCGCACACCGCGCAGAGGGCAACGCCAGGTTGGCGACGCTCTCTTCGCAAGGCTCCATCTCGGTGAGCCAACGCTGGCGGTTGTATGGCGTCGTTTCGGATACCGATGCGGATGCTGCAAGCAAAACTGCGCATCACATGGTTTGCGCTGCTATGGAACCCCTGGGCAGCCCCAGAGCCTTCAGGACCCCTTTCCCGCAGGACCTCTCTCCCCCATGGCAGTGCGCTCTCGCTGCCCCGGCGGCTGCGCCTCGGCCGCCAGACGACGTGCGCCCGACGAGCTGAGGCAACTCTTCGTTCGCTGTGCTCTCTCGGTCATGCGCTGGGTGGGTGTGTGAAGTGTCGAGTGGCGTCTCCCACCCGTTGCCTACGCCATGCCTCATGCCTCTGTATTGCTCTGCGCGAGCGCGGTTGGCCCCCGACGGAAAGGTTGCCACTTTGGGGCCCCATTGAGCCTCGCAAAGCGCAGCACTCGGAGTGCCTGGTGATACCGCTGCGCGAATACCTTTGGCTGCCGAACTAGACACGGCTCAGAAGCTGTTCGGAGCAAGGTTGGAAGAAAAAAAGCCTTGACCTCCAATCCCTGGGAGGGTGTCTGCTTCCGACTCGGTTCTACCCTACCTGTATGCTGACTTCTTATCCTCTTCCTGCTCTCCGGCCTGGTACTCTTTGTTCTCCAGCTTGGCCGCCTGCTTCTCGTTCTCGCGCGGCGCCCAGTGGGAATTGGAAGACGGCACAGGACGGCCCAAGAATGCCACATGACGGATCTGGAGAGAATCGCAATCGGAATCGGAACAGTTGTGGAGCAAGATCGACACCCGACGGCACACCACTTCCCTCTCAGAGCTCCCCGAGCGCCAAGACGACCCAGAAGCCAAAGCAGAGGAAAAATATGCTGCCACGGAACGGATCCGCACTCCTCCAGGGAATAAATGAAGCACGGTTGGCAAACATCGCGCACTACTCAAAAAACAAACTCCGCCCTGGGTGCACTGCAGGATGCCCCCAACGCGCTCGTCCTGCCGTTGTCAAACTCTCATCTGGGCCGACTGACGCGCATGGTAACAGCGCAAACCTGGCATGCAACCCCGAACAAATGCAAGAACGCGCTGTCTAGTCGAGCCTATACGCTTTGGTCTGGCCTTCATTCGTACACTGGCTCTCTGGCATCCCCCTACAACGGGTGATCGATTGCCGCTCCACCCACCCTGATAACACGCGCTCGCGCGCATCACGCGAACTCATCCGTGCAAGTGGGCGCGTGCACGGGTAAGCGACGCCCAGCCCAGTAGAGAGCAGAAAATCCACCCCAATAATAAGCACCCCGACAAGCGAAGCCGTTTAGTAAACGCACCCATGGAAGGAATCGAACAGGGCAGGGCTGTTTAGCAAACGCCCAGGGCTGTTTAGTAAACGCGAATTGTCGGGGTCGGGGTGGTTTTTCCACCCTTGAAAGAGAGGGCAGCCGACAAAGATCGCAGGAGGGGCTGGTGCTCACGCAGGCAAGCCTGCTTGGACGACTTCGACTTCCCATTGGCCGAGCTGCCACTACCTGCACCTGCCCTCGCCCACCGCGGGGGCAGGCCAGAAAGAGAGGCAGGGCAGAGCCTGGAACGAAACAGGGCGGGAGGGGCCACCCTCGTCGTCATCACTCCTCCTCCTCCTCCTCCTCATCCTCCTCCTCCTCCTCCTCCTCCTCCTCCTCCTCCTCCTCCTCCTCATCATCATCATCATCATCATCATCAGCAGCAGCAGCAGCAGCAGCATCTTCATCCTCCTCCTCCTCCTCCTCCTCCTCCTCCTCCTCCTCCTCCTCCCATTGTCCCCCTCCTAACCGCCCTCAACCCTCATTGCCCCATTCACAGGGGGGCTCCCCCCGTCGCACCAAACCCACCCGCGAACGCGATCCGAACCCCCCCCCACCCCACACCACGCGACGGACAACACTTTTGTGCGCCTCACGCGATCCACCTTCCCACGCCTGCGGAACAACTCAGGGCACGTACAGGGAAAAATCTGTTTTCGGAGAGGGAGGCTTCGCACACTGTGCAAACAACGCTGATACAGAGCACTCGCGGAGGGATCCCGCCAAGGGTTTGGAACTCGGGCGACGGTTCGGGAAACCATGTGAACCCACACGAATCATGGACATCCAGCTCACTGTTGGTCTCCAGCCAGGGTGTTCCTCGTGGTGAGGGCTCCATCTGAGCTCAACCTCGGATGATATCATGAGCTCAACCTCTGCATGAGCCTCCGATCCGCACCAACGCGGCGCGCAGTATATGAAGACAGGGTCGCGCCCTGAAATACATGCAGCTGCATGGGGGGTCCTTCGCCAGGCTAGTTGCTGTGCCCTTCTGCGTACTCACATACAAGCATACATACAATTAAACATACACAAGCATACGTGTATGTATACACGCATACGCGTATACGCGCATGCATGCGAAAGTACATGCACATATAAATATACAGCATGCGTGTACACAATTGCACCACATACATTCACATACTTCTACACATACAGCTACACATATTGAAGCATAGACAAGCAGTACCTGCGCCTGGGTCGTGAGTCATGGGCGTTTTCGATGTCTTTCGACGCCTCTTCAAGCATCTGTAGAGCCTCAGGATGCCTCTGCAGGGCCTCCTAGGCGGCCTCTCGGCGCCTCTTGGGGCCTTTCGGGAGCGTCTGGGGGTCTCGTGGGGGCGTCCTTGGAAGCGGGAGCCTCCTGGTGGGTCTTACAGGCATGGTAAGAGGCCCCCCCCCAAGATTGTGCCCCACGACCCACGACCCATCTTAGCACCCTCTTGGGGTCCTCTTGGGGCTCCCGTGGGGCTCTCTTGAATTATATTATGGGGCCCTTGGACCGTCTTGGAGCCCTTTAGCCCGTCTTGGGACCCTGCCGTCTTGACGCCTCATTGCACCGCTCTGTACGCTGTGATGATACAAATGTGCGTTTGCCGGAATGGGACGATTTGAGCCTCCCGGGCCTTGTTGAGGGCCTCTTGGAACGTTCTTGAGGCGTCTTCGGGACCTCTTGGCCCTTCTTGAGGCCATCTCGGGGCGTCTTGGAGCGCTCTCGGGGCGACCTGGAGGCCTCTTGGGCTGCCTGAAAGCTCTCGGAACGCTCTGCGGGGCGATCTCGGACCCCCCGGGGCTTCCCAGAGAGGCCGCCCGGGGAGGAGTAGACACCCATGCAGAGGGAGGTACAGGCCTTGGGCCCCAGGCCTGGGATCTCCCTTATGTGTCCTGGTAGCTTTGCCCTGCTGAGCCAGTCTCCAATATTGCGTGCTGACCGAGGCATAGGCGACGAACATGAAAGGAAGACCCCGTCCAGTCCTTTTGCGCTTGATGTCCCGCAGCCCATGATGCACCGCCGCGCTCTGGAACAAAATCGCCTCAGTGAATTCTGGACGAAACGCAAGGGAAATCAGCCGAAGATGGTAATGGATCGGTGGGCTGAAACGGCGAAGGATAATCTGACCGCGGGTCGGAAGCGCGCGTTGGCATGAGCCAACGGGTCGTGGTGGCAACAGGGCCTTGTGGAAACGGTTATTGAAACCTGGGGGCTTTCCCTGGGATCGAATTTTCACGCCGAATCGTTTTGCTCATGGTCCTGGAGCCTGGGGACAGCCCTGGGCCTCCGAAAGCGACCAAAAAATCAGAGACAGCAGACACGAGGACTCGGGGCACAGCGCTGGACGGGACGGCACACCAGAGGACAGGACGGAGCAGGACGAGGACGGGACGCAGGGCAAGGCCGAAGCAATCACTGACGAGCGAACCTGCAGCATGGGACAGCAACAGGCGACGCCAGAGAGCGACGAACGCAGACGGGTGGACGCACGCAGGCGCGCCACGAGTGGGCGCACGGAAATGAAAGAGTCCTTCCCACCGAGCAGTAATCCATGTGTATGGTTGTGGAAAGTGACAGTGAAAGGGAGGGTGAGGATGTGCGTCGGCAAATGAGGCTGGCCGTGGCCAGAGAAAGACCCATCGTTGCCTATTCGGTACCCCAGGTGGTAGCACGATGGCTATAACAGCTTCAGTGTGTTAGCCCAGTGCCAGCGACCATCTCCCCGGAGGCGTTGCTGTGCGTCCGCATCGCAGGCCTAGTGCTTCTGTTCCGATCGGTGTCTTAAACACCTTGGCGCCTCATTCGAGGTCACTTGGTCGCTGTCTGTCACGTCGAGGGAGGGGGGACCGAGAAGGAGTGACGCTTCCACGGGCTTCGTCAAGGAGCTGGGGCTAGTGGAGATGCCCAGCAGGGAACTCATCGTCGCGTGCACTGAAGACAGAGGTGCTGACGGCAAGATCGACTATGCCCTGCTCAATGCGGGCTTCGCCCACGCTGTCAAGTTCGTGGGCGCGGCGTGGACCACTCGGCCCCTTGGGGCGCCCACATGGCGTTAAGGTACTGGATCGCTTCGAGGCCCCGCTCTATCCATGGTCGGAAGCTGGTGGCCCCCCGCGCCGTGGACGCTGCCGCTCTCTCGCAAGAGGAGCGGCCAGGCCGCTTCAGGTCAAGCGTAAAGCCGCCAGGATGGCACTGTCTCAGCAAGATTCCCCGCAGGTGGCCCTCAGTCTGGGGCAGGATAAAGGCGAATGGGCCCTGGCGCTTGAGCTCGTGCAGTGGGAAAAAAAGGCATCCCTGGAGCTGATTGGGAACGATGTTTTTGGCGCTGCCAGCAGCCCCGCATCCGCTGGGTGCCGATCGTCCCCAAGAGTTCCGCTGGGTCCCCTTTGGCTAACGATCATGCCAAATTTTGGGTGACCATTTCGGGCAGGCTGGTTCACCTACTGCACCTGCTCGACCCCGATCGTGATCCCGACAAAGGCGGCCGACCCCCTGCAGGAGCACGAACCCCAACTCTGGACTCTGGTGAGAGGTCTCGGTGACCGTTCCCCTCTGAGGCGCTGAATCTTGGGGCTGTGGAGGAGTCAGCTGCCCGTGGGAGTTGGAAAGCTCGGTTGGGCCAGATTGCCTCCGAGTCAGTCGGAAGCTCTCAATGATTACAGGGCTTCGCTCAGATCCATGCTGACAAGGCGGGCAGGGCTGCGTCTGAGACCTGAGGCTCGTTCCCAATGAGAAGTGAAGCTTTCGGAGGCCGCTGCGGGGTCGGCCGCCGCGGCCCACCGGGGTTGCTCAAACCCAGTGGGCCCCGAGGAGCCGAAATGTGATCCGATCTCGGAAAGGCGCCCTGCCACCACGGCCAGTGATCTTCTGGATGTCGAGCCGGGGGCGTGGGATGCCATCTGGAGTAAGCGCTCTGAGGTCCGAGGCCCTCGAGGCGCTGGCTACCGGCAGGGTGGCCGCCCGAGGTCCTCCTATGCCCGGGAGGATATCTGCGTCACGGGTTAGACGGGCTCTGAAGGCTATGCCCGACCGGCGTGGCAAGGGAGCTCATGGTACGCCACCGCATCTGGTCAATGACGCACCCCACGAGGCTGTTGCAGCCCTGGCCAGTCTGCTTTCCTCCATACGACGTGAGGGCACCCTACCGTTCCAAGAGCCATTCGGCATCACCGCCCTCCTGGATGAGGAGGACGGTGGCTTGAGGCCCACCGCTCTTCTGACTTTCTCCTACGCTCTTCTGCGCAGGATTCGCAGGCCCCTCATTGGGACCTGGGAACGAGAGGCCCACGGGTCCTGGGACAACACCGTCGGGATTTCCTGCGGAGCGCGTGGGATGGCTGGCCGAGCTGAGCACCGAATTGGCCCTGCTCGTGGGTCTCAGTGCTGCTGGAGGCCTCCTGGATATGGGGAAGCTGTATGATCCAGTGTGCCTGCCAGCTCTTGCCTTGTGGATGCCACGACAATGGACACCTTAACAGTCCTATCCTTGATTTCAAGATGTGTTCAAAATTTCAGAAAATGTTCTAATCATACTTTTAACTTGTTTTACATGTTTAAAACCTGAGTAATACATGTTTTAGACATCTGGATGTTACTTGGCAACACGCTTCCTTCCCATTGATCGTCCTCCACAACTCTTGCCCCAGCCCCTTTATGACCTCAGCTACCCCACTTCGCCTCCCGGCGTTAGCCCTGGGCGCCTGTCTCGGACCCAGGATGCCGACCCTGCCGCAACCAGGTCCGTCCAGGCCTCTTACCCGGGGGGGGAGGTCCCTGGAGGGCTGCGACCCTGGTCGCACTTGCATGAGCCTGTGGAAGCGACCAGCCAGGTCGCCAGAGAACTTCGCCTCGAGGAGTGGGTGGACGACAGCTCCTATCGGCGTCGCATGTCCTCTTGTTCTGCGGGCTCTCCTCCAGGGTTTGCGTGGGAGGAGGTGCCTGCTAGCGCTGCCCAAATGCCATCTTTCGGCGGTGGACAAACCTCCCTTTAGTAGACCTCCCCTTAGTGAAAACGGCCTGGAACCGAAACCGACGGACCTGGACCCGCAAAAATGACGGCCGCGACGCCCTCTCGCGAACCGAAAACGGCCAATCCCTTAATCGACGTGTCAGGGTAGGAGGTCTGTCCACCCCCGAATCTTATTGAAGGGGCCCTGGGACACACAAATAAATGCACACAAATAAAAAGAACCCCCATATTTTCCCATATGTTCTGTGTTTTTGTCTTCCCTCCCACTTCCCATATTTTCCCATATTGTCTTCAGAACCGACGATTAATTGTGTCTGTGCTTTTTTCCCTCCTGACTTCTGGCCTCCTCGGCCTCGGACCTCTCCAATGCTCTCTTGAGAGCGGCGTGGGCCCCCGCGCGGCGCACCAGGTTTCTCCATGCCCTCCGGAGGCAGCACGCGAGTCCCAGGCGCTCTGGACGAAGAGCTCGAGCGTCCCCTCCGCGCACGGAGGCCCAGCCATTTGAAGGGGCCCCAGGACACACAAATAAATACACACAAACAACAGGATTTCCCATATTTTCCCATATTTTCTGGGCTTTTGTCTTCCCCCCCACTTCCCATATCTTCCCCTATGTTCTGGGAATGGACGATGAATTGTGTCTGTGTGTCCTTTTCCCTCCTGACCATTGCCGCGGCCGCGGCCAGCGGCGCTGCTGCCGGGACTCCTCGCCCCACCGGCTGGCCCGGGCGACCTCTCGCCACGGCCCTGCGGTCGCTCGCGCCACCGGGGCCGCTCGCCACCGGGTCCGGGGCAGTCTCCTGTGGGGCTCCGCCCTCGGCGCGCTGCGCCACCATCGCTTGGGCTGCCGCCGCAGTCGCCGCACTGGCTCCCTGCGCTGCTGGGTCCTCTCCATCCTTCAACACTGTGGGCGCCTACCCCGTGGCTAAGCCCGTCGCAACTTCCGCGACGCACTCCGCACCGTGGATCGAATCCGCTAGACGGTAGCTCCGCTACCAATGCCGATGTGAAGGATATTCTTCCTCACACTAAAGGAAGCGACGTGTTGCTGCACGTCCGCCTCAAGTTAAAAAGGCTGAATCAGCCCCCCCGACCTAGCGTCCCAGCCGCTAGAGCCCAAACGGCTGCGGCGTCAGGGGGTAAGCACAGCAGCAGGCAGCATCACCACTACCATTGCGTTATGCTTCCGACGCTTTTCGGCCCAAGATCGCCTGAGGAATACTCCAGAGAACCCCAAGCCGGCCCCAGAGGGACCCGAGGATCCCCCAAAACGACCCAAGACAGCCTCAAGACGCCACCACAACGATCCAGGAGCCCCCGAACGGCCCAAGACCGCCCCCCAAGAGATCTCCAACGGCCAGTCAAAGTGTCTGCCGAGCCTCTTCGGGAGAGACTGATGGAACCGTCGCGCCGAACGCGGCCCGAAGGACCCCCAAGACCAGAGCACGTACTGACTGGTGACGGTGTGTAGCAGGTCTCCTGTATTTTCGAAGACAGGTTTAGCACTCAGTATCCGAGCGAGTTGACCATGCTCGGTGACCATTTTGGCTCAAGGTAAAGCACTTGTCTCTCATGCTGCTGCCACAGTTGGGAGCGGAGCGGGGTAGGCTGGCGCGCCATGGGTGCAAGGGCAGGCTGCTAGCGGTCTCTCCCTCGGCGCTTGCGAGCCCCCGGTCGGCCCCGCTCACGCCGTCCAGCGAGCGGTGCGGGACCCACGGCAAGAGAATGCCCTGCGCAGGTAGTGAAAGGAGACATCGAGGCAGCGCTCACGGCGCTGAGGCAGCCAGCCGACCCGCCGGCCGCCTCGGCAGATGGCGCGGCCTCGTCGGGCAGCACCGCTCCGGTCACCAAAGGGGAAGCTCGAGAACCTGATCAGGGACATGGTGACATCCACTATGAGATCGGCGTCGACGGCTCGAGCGGGGACCCTGGGTGCTGCCGAAGTTGACACCGCTCCAGCCTCTAAGGCGCAGAGCATGAAGGCCGACGGTGAGGACCAGTGGGCGGTGTCAGATCCGTGGCAGGACAACCGCAGACATCACGGACGCGATCGCGGCGACAAAAGCAAGTCAACAGCAGCAGCAGACCCCGACCGCGACTGGCAGTCCGGCTCCTGGGGCTCCAGCAAGGCCAGGGATCCTAGCTCCTGGCAGGCCCGGAGCCCAGGAGGCGGGACCTGGGCAGATGGCGGCTGGGGCGCCTCGGGTACAGGCTGGTCGACGAGAACTGGCCGAGGCGACTTCAGCGACCCACCTTCCTGGCCGGGATGGGCACACTACCGCCAGTGGAAAAAGGCTGTCAGGAGGTGGAATACTAACACGGATGTTCCAACCTGGCGCCGGCAAGAAAAGCTGATGAAGCAATTCGAGTGGACTTTCCAGGCAAAGTTCGAGGATATCAGCGAGCATGACCTGACGAGCGAGAAGTAGTTGGACACCATCCTCTCCAGAATGGACATGATGGTGGGTGAACGTGGGGGCGACGATCTCAAACGAGCAGGACGGAAAGCATTCTTCGAGGCCACCCGCGAGAACCGGGACAGCCTCATCCAGTATATGAGTCGCCGTGAGGCTCAGCTGCTCGAAGCAGAAGGACACGATCTTTGGATGTCGCCCAAGTTGAAGGGTCTACTGCTGGAGGAGGGTGCGGGTCTCACAGTTCAGGGAGTTCAAAACCTTCGGACCCTCACTCAAGGGCGACTCGACTACCAGAATGTAGCGTGGGCCCTCCGACAGATGGATGCGGGAGGAAGTGAGCGTCTTCTCCCCGGAGGCTCGGGGTCGAGAGTCACGGCCTTGGCGGCGTCGTCTTCTGAGGACCACGGTCCGCGTCCAGCGTACGACAGTGCTGCAGCAGGTGCTTTTAGTCTTCCCTCCTCTCTCCTCCTGGTCTTGGTCCGTCGGAGGTTGGTGAGCCCGAAGGTCCAGAGGATGACGAACCTGACTACGACGATGAGGACGACCTGGAGGACTTCGACCAGGACGATGCAGTTGCCATTTTGGCAGAGATCGACGACATGGACCTCTACGAAGATCAGATCGACGAGGCGCTGACCATGATCGAGTCGAGGCCCAACACCAGGACCTGGCAGCAGAACAAGGACCTGAAGCGCGCGGCCAAGATAGACCCGGAGTACTTCGGCGGCAGGGCGAAAGACGGCTCGGCCTCGGGACCTCGGCCGCCACGACCACCTGGCGGCAGCGGAGGAGGTGGCCGCGGGCACACGGACCGAGGTCGAGGAGGCAGAGGAGGCCGCGGCCGAGGCCGATCGGGCCGCCTGTCTCCCGAGCAGCTCATGAAGGTGACCAAGTGCAGGATCTGCCACCAGAAGGGCCAGTGGGGACGTGAGTGCCCGAATGCCGGGTCGCGAGGAGCTGCCGAGAAGAACGATCGGCAGAAGCTCTCGGCCTACATGTTTGACGGATGCTCCTTCTCGTCCGATCCGGCGTCATGGAACTTGGCGACCTGGCAAGACGTTCAGGAGGAAGTGTCCAGCGACGCGGTCTTTCTCACCTCCTGGGCCACTCAGGGCCTCATAGGTCCAGGAGCAGGGAGCGATCTTGCTGGTCGGGACTCACTCAATCGAGAGTCCACCGCCCTGGCTGAGATAGGCCTGCGCTACGTGGAGATTCCTGCACCTGTGCGGCCCAGCAAGTCGACCCATGGAGTGGGTGGCCCCGCCAGGGTGATCAGTGTCATCTTGTATCCCCTTGTGCCTTGGCGGGGTGCTGGGGATCATCGAGACTACCGTGCTGCAGGATAACGTTCCACACATTATCAGCGTGAATCTTCTTGATTTCTTGGCCTGCGTGATTGATTTGCCGCGAAACGTTATGCAATCCAACACTCTCGGCGAGTCGATTCCTTTAACCCGTTTGGGGTCTGGGCACCGGATGGCAGACATCGTCCGGCCTTTGAGCTCAGGATGCGAGGTGCCTCCGAAGGCGCTGAAGCGCTACCCTTTTCCCAGGCCAGACTTGTTTTGCATCGGAGGCACGCGGCCTCCGATAATGTCAGACACCAGAGCGATCTCGTCGTACATCCGTCAGCTCATCCTCCTTTGCATCATTCTCACAAGGGCCCTGAGGCTCTATTTCAGGTACTCCAGGAGATCAATGACCAAGAGGACTCCTAAAAGGCGCTCAACCCAGAAGGCCCTCAAGTTTCCGGAGGTGACGCGTGTCAATGACTACGATGGGGTTCCGAAGCTGCCAGGTAGGCTCCTCCACAGGTCCCTGGAGAGCCTCTTCCAGTCGCGGGCTCAGGTAGCGGGCTGTGAACAGGTGTCGGGCCCAGGATCAACCGAGAAAGCTAAGGCACAGCATCCAGGTGGAAGAGAAGCAGGTGGCCGCCTCCCTGCCAGGGAACCGTCTAGACTGGTGTCATCCGTAGGACATGTAGGCTCGAGCTCGAGCTTCAGGCGTTCCAGGCGATCCTCGCTTCCTCGATATCCATATCAACCCTCAGAGCTGTGTGCCAAGGATGGCAGGCCGCAGGCCTGCGGTGACGATGTGTATCATTATCATGGCAGTCGGGACCAGTGCCACGAAGAACAATCCAGGAGCCAAGAAGGCCACGGAGGAGTTTCTTCGTCGCCGAGCCGAGGCTCCAGGATAAGACTCCGAGGCCGAGACGATCGACAGCGTCGAGACGGTGCTTCCGCCGGGCAGCCAAGCACCGAGCGGTCCCGACGTGAGTGCGGTGATCCCTCCACCAGTTCCCATGAATACTGCCTCTCCGGTAACTCCTGGAGAGAGCGATGTCGACAGCAGCCAGCTCATCCAGCGGCACAGCGTCGGGATCTCAGCCACCGCTGGCCGGCGGAGCTCCACCAGCCTGGACGGGTCCATCGTCGAGTTCAGGAGCAGGACCAGGAGACCCTCCTCTACCAGCAGGATGGGCGGCATCCATGATCGGAGCAGTCCCGAAGAAGCCGCCGCCCAAGATGGCACCGGGATGCCACCATCCCCCAGAGGCCGTCAGCTACTACGGCAACAAGCACGGGAGCGGGAGCCGGCGCAGTCGGTGCGGCGAGAGACTGGTCTGGGTGCCTCGCCGGGGTCAAGCCGGGGACAACGACAACGAGCCACCAGCAGTCAGCCGCGGCGGCAGCCCGTGCCGCGGCGTCCTCAGCCCAGAAGGCAGTCGAGATTCTTCAGAACGACCCGTCCTTCCGGGCGGGGGGAGCCGCCCTGACCTTAGTCAACAGTCTGGCGGCCCTGCTCCAAGGATTGCAGTGGCAGTTGCAGGGCATGCCAGAGGGGTTGAAGGCGCTGGGGAATGTGCAGACGGTGCTCGATCGCATGCACGAGGTGATCGACTCCCAGCAGTTCGCGCCAACCCAGATCGAGGAGGGGCTCCAGCAGATTTACCTGTCAGTGGTGCAGATCAAGCGTACGCTCGAGAGCTTCGATGAGTTTGGCGAAGCGGTCGACTAGTTGCAGACGACAGTGTCCACCATGGCGACCACGCTGAGCAACGTCGAGGCCTCCATCGGGCAGCTGGCGACGATGATGGTTCAGATCGGATCGGCAGTGGCAGCGGTGTACAACGCGGCGGTGGGCGACCCCTGGACTCACCAGGCGCCGTCCGGGAGCGGAGGCGCGTCGTCCTCCGGCGGGAGTGCTTCACAGCTGGAGTCCGGACCCAGCCACCAGGGCAGCGGTCTGGCGGCGACTGCCACCACCACGATACCGCCTGTGCCAGCTTTCGGGGGCCTGCCCCCCATCCCAGAGGCGTATGCCTGGGAGGTCCTGCCGGACGGGCTCTAGACCTCGAGGGAGGTGCGAGCTTTTCCCTCGCTTCGTGTTTTGTGCAGTGCTGCGACCACCACGGTGGCACTCAGAGCTCGGAGGGAGCTCGTGCTCAGCGCTTCACTGTGCCTTTTGCTTGCCAGCCCACTTCCTCCCCATCATCATCCCTCTTAGGGCAAGCCTCGATGGGGCCCGAGTGGCTCGATGGGGATTGGTACAAACGATGACTACGAGGTCTCCTGCGGAGTGGCCGTCCGAAAAGCTCTCGAGGCCACCCCTACGAGGGCGAGCAGACCCTGGCGGTCGCGGGACGTTCCAAGGTGGCCTTCATGGAGATCTTCGCTCCAC